TTATTTTATCGATCGATCGAAAAAATCTCGAATAGAAAATTCACGTTTTAATTTTTTTTTTTAAATAATTCACGACAAAGATCGAAAGGAAAATTAAGTTATATTACCAACTTGTTACGTATATCTGATAACGCATGCCGATTTTTATCGGTATTGTTGCTCTATTAAATTCCTGCCTTCACAATGTTGATAAATGAGATTCAGATAAATTATATAGATAGACGGTATATATATACAAATTGCACGAGATATAATTTATCGAAAGTTACGATTCCTCTTACGATTATTATTCCTGTATTAATTTAAGTTCGGTTAAAGCTTGGCGAAACTTTAACACTTTTTTTTTTTTTTTTTTTTTTTTTTCAATTTCCCGAACGAACCCCCCTTTCCTTTTTTTTTTTTTTTCAATTTCCCGAACGAACCCCCCTTTCCTTTTTTTTTTTTTTTTTTTTTTTTTTTCAATTTCCCGAACGAACACTACTTTCCTTTCTTTTCTTTCCTTTTTCAACGTAGCTCGCGTGGATCATGCTCGCGCAAGCGCATCGTCCGTCCGTCTATTAACAATCAATCATCACTGTAGATAGAGATCGCAATATAACTCATAACGAGCCGCGGAATATTTTATTTTCAACGGGGATCATTCTCGATACATCGTTTTTCATTTTTTTTTTTTTTTTGATAAATGAAAATTCGTGCATAATCGTTCGGAAAATTTAATGAGTCAAGATAAAAAAGATTTACGCATTTTATCTCGATCTTTATATCGAGAAACGAGAATTCGAATATATAATTTATATTAATATAATTATAATATATAATTTTAATAATAAAATTTTAATTAATTATTATTTTAATAAAATAATAATTTTTAATTAAATGTAATTAATATATAATTTTAATTATTCTTACTTTTCTTAAGAGTTTCGAACTAGTTTCGTAGAAAGTAAACGAGATAATATAATGCATGTATGTATGTATACACGTGTATATGCAAATATACACAGGAGAAGTGGGCGGGTGATTTATTCAATGCGTGTGCAAATTTTGTTTTCGCATGATAAATTGTGCGAATTACATTCCGGTTGATCGAGCACAAAAATTAACGACGCGTGCCAAGTTTTCCCCGTGAAAACACTTGTGTCGCAATTTCATGAAAAATTTCCACGAAAACTCGCACTATGCAACAATTTGCTAATTTGCAATTTATATATGCTCGCTTTATACGAGCATAACGTTTCTTAATAATCTAATAGCGAACGAAGACAAGAAACGTAAACAAAAAAAAAAAAGAAAAAAGATCGAATAACTCTCTTTGCGTAAAATCGCCCGATTGAATCAACGTGGTTGTTAATTAAAACTCGGCCTCTCAACAAAAACATGGAAATTTTCTCGTCGAGGAAATCGTACGAAAATCTCGGGGGAGAGAAATTCTTCTTTAATGAAAAATTCATCACGAAAATTACATCACAAAAAAAAAAAAAGAAAAGATGGATGGAACACGTTACACTGGTCCAACAACAATTCACAAATTAATTTCACCGTCGTTGCGTGGACGAAGAAAGAAACGTGGACACAATTTGAAATCCTCGTTGGCGAAAATGGTCGCGATGCAGGATTATTTAGTTGGATGGAACGTACCTCTTCCTGATGCCTGGAAGCGGGGTACTAATCGTTGGGTGAGAGCCGAGTCCGTTGACAGGGGTTGACGTTGTCCTCGCCTTTCCAACTATTCGTAGAAAGTCAGTTAACGAACAGTGCTGGTAAACTGTTAGTTGCTGCAAATGGGTACTGGTATATATGCTACTTGGTCCGTGTATTCGTCAAGCGTGCTCGTGCACGCACGTTCACCCGTGTGTGCGCGCGCGCGCCCCCCGTTTTAAACGTGAATCTGTCAGGTGTGCTGCGTGCACTTCCCACTCGTCGCGTGCTGCTCAAATTCAATCGATTTCGCGAAGCTTTTCTGTCTCTTCCTATTTTTAATATGAAGTTAATATGAAGTTTTAATATGAACGATATTTTACGTAAATAGAAAAAATAAAAAAGAAAATAGAAAATAATTTTTAGCATTCGCGAAACTTTTCTTCTCCCCCTCTTCCTAGTTTTAATATGAAGTTAAACGATATTTTACGTAGATAGCAAAAAAAAAAAAGAAAATAGAAAATAATTTTTAGCATTCGCGAAATTTTTCTTCTCCCCCTCTTCCTAGTTTTAATATGAAGTTAAACGATATTTTATGTAAATAGAAAAAGAAAATAGAAAATCGATAATGATTTTTGATGTTCGCGAAATTTTTCTTTCCTTTTTTTTCCTCCTACTTTTAATACGAAATTAAACGATATTTTACGTAAATAGAAAAAGAAAATAGAAAATCGATAATGATTTTTGATGTTCGCGAAATTTTTCTTTCCTTTTTTTTCCTCCTACTTTTAATACGAAATTAAACGATATTTTACGTAAATAGAAAAAAAGAAAGAAAATAGATAATGATTTTTAGCATTCGAAACTTTTCTCTTCCCCCTCTTTTTATTTTGAATATAAAATTAAACGATATTTTACGTAAATAGAAAAAGAAAATAGAAAATTGATAATGATTTTTGGTGTTCACGAAATTTCTCTCCCCTTCTCTTCCTCTTCCTATTTTTAATATAAAATTAAACGATATTTTATGTAAATAGAATAACAGAAAAATAAAATCGATAATAATTTTTGATGTTCGTAAAATTTC